CATTGCCCCCAGCTCCAAACAGCGTCTCTCCCAACCCCAGTGACGGCACTTTAGCCCTGGGGAAAGTAAATCACCAAGAGTGCTTGCTGTTGAGCAGGATGATAAAATTGATTGCATCTTCCCCAGACAAGGGTCTGGCACATGGCTGCAATCTCCTCCCAGCTCTCATTGCTGGATTTTTCTGATCCACCTCTCTGGAYGGAGCTGGTGGATCATTCTGGTTCACCTCCACGCAGCATTTTGGTGGGGCAGGGATGAACTGTGTGCAGCTGGCAAGGGGMAAACAGACCCTAAACAACCTCTGCTGAATCACTCGTTTTTCTGTGGCTTCTCACAGCTCCTGGGGACATTTTGGGGAGGAGCAGCAGACCCTCATCTGTGTGTCTGTCATATGATTGCCCAGAGCAGAAGCAAAGATCTGCCCCTTGAGCTGGGGGCTTGTGCAGCTGCAGTGACCTCAGCCCCCCAGCCCCAAAAAATTCCTTGGAGCTGCTTATTAACACACTGAAACTCTGCTCTGGAGCCACAGCACGCTGAGGTAGAAGGCAGGAGGGTTTGACAGTATGGCCTAAATACCCCTGTTTACAAAAAGTCTGACAAAACACAAGCCCTTGGCTTTATCTTTCCCATTTGGAAATAGTCACCGAGCAAATATACTCAAGGCATGAAAGGAGGGGGTTTATATTGACTTTAGAAAAAGCTGTTCTTTAAAAACAAAAGGAAAAAAAGCTCATCCTCGAGCTGTGCAGACTGGCTGTGAGACCCAAAAGTCCTGTGTAGGGGCTTAAAACCTGCCTGCTAATCTGTAGCAGTTCTGTGTGAGCAAGTCATGCAGTAAACTGCTCTCTGTTAATTTTTTAATGCAGAATAAACAGGTCAAGAAATGATTAGCATGAGAATAAGTTGAGCTTAATTGGGAGAATCAGAAAAGATGAGAGGGAAGAGGCAAATTGGAGTTATCAGTTAACCATACGGAGTGGCTCTGCCTCCACAAGCTCATGTTCCCTCTTGTTTTTCATCCCCTCTGTAGCTGCTTTTTTTTTTTTTTCTCCCCCTTCCCTTATTTAAATGATGAGCTAAAATTGCTGGTATAAGCACAATGGAAGCCCTTGTTTCTCCTTCCCATTTTCTATCCACAATGGCTGGCCAAACGAATTGCAGGTGACAAGGCTCCTACCTGGTTATTCCCGAGGTTCTTCCCAGAAAGGAAGCTGCTGACATTAAGTGCAAAATCCACTTAGTGCGAGTGCCAGTGCTGTGCTCCAGTGCAAAAAAATTCGGCACAATCCTGGCAGATCCAAGGGCTGAGCAGACACATCCGTGGGCAAGGGGAAGAGCAGTCCTCGGGACTGCTTSAAGTGGAGTTTGGTCAGTGGTCGGAGATCTATATTCTCAGATAGGCAGGACTTTGTCCACAAACTGGAATTTGAAATTTCAAAGGGGAAAAAAAAAAAAGGCAGAAGGGACCTTTGCATGTGTGGAGATGACTACGCTGGTGACGTTCCCCCGGGACTTTYGTTCTTTGTCTTGTACCTGGGCTTCCTGCTTCCCCACAGCTCACCGTGAGATGGGCTGAGCAGGGCCCTGGCTGTGTTCTGGGCATTGCTGTGCTGCAGAGGTTTCAGACCTGAGTCCATCTCTGCTTCGTGTGCAAGTGGGAAAAGAAAAAAAGTGTGAAATATTGCAGCTCTAGAGTGGCCTTGGAGCTGCGAGTGGCACTGGAGCAGATCTGGGGTCAGGGCTGCCAGGACCAGTGATGGCACTGACTGTGAAGGTGGGGTGGGTCCTGCTGGCTCTGGGATCCGACATTTCTTGACAGTGCAGAGCTGTGAGAGAGAAAAGCAAAGGGCAGGAGGGCCCCAGGCTGCAGCCTGGTCATGATCCATGCTCAGAAAATCTGCAGGCGACCCCAGTCTGGGGGGGCCTGGTCAATCCACTGGTGAGCAGGACTGTGTCCTACATCAGGCAGGAGAGAGGGGCCAGCATGACCTGGGGGAGATAACACACAAAAGGACATCAAAAAGACAGGGCCAGGCTCCTCAAAGGGCATAAAAACTGGAGAGGGRTTCAGCCAGTGTCTAACCATGAGGACAGTCAAGCATCACCAGGTGAGAGAGGCTGCTCTTCAGCCTTGGAGGTGTTCAGAACCCAACTAGATAACTTGGCTCTCACAGCTGGCCCTGCTTCCAGCAGGAGCCTGGAGCAGAGAATCTGAGGGGCCTTCCAACATCAATTATCCTCTGATCTGACAACACCCAGTTCAAGAAGGAAGAAGGAGGAGCCCCTTGAAAGGAGCCTGCTCACCTGCTTGGCATGCAGAGCTGGTGAGCACAGTAGGTGACAGCATCTTTACCAAAAATGCTCTATTAAATGCTCTGTTCCTGATCCTCATCTACTGAAAAGCACATATCTCATTTTCAGGGAATCCCCTTTAGGTTTGCATGAATTTTCCAGTCAGGGATGTATAGATAAGGCAGAATTGGTGTCGTGATGTGCCAGTGTGGGAAAGGATTTGCTGCTCAACAGATAAAAATTCAATAATCACTTGGCACGGAACAGCTCATGCCCCAGAGGTGTTATGGACTCCTTTGCAACCGTGTCCTGACATAGGAAATGGGGGGTGGAGGGTGCAGAAAATGGGGATAGGAGAGAGGAGCAGATCTGGGAGCTGACCTTCCCCAGAGCACCTGCTATGGGTTGTCTCTGTGGAATAAAAATGAAAAAACATCTTCTGTAGCCAGGAGTGTTTGAAACAGCTCCACAAATAGCTGCTGACTTGAACATCTCCCACCTCAGAGAGCTACAGAGCTGTGGGGTCCCAAAATTCACCACACAAGGATGGCAGGGGGACACCAGGATGCCAGGCAGAAGATGCCAGGGGGCACATCCTCTCCCACAACAGCCTGTGCCCAGCGAGCAGCCAATGCCTCTCCATCAGAGCCRTCTCCAGGGCAAAGGAAGTGCGTGGTGTCCTTGGCTGGTCTGGCCCTCGACCTCCAGACCCACATGAGGGATTTGGGAGGGGGTGACCCACAGAGGACATGGGCAGTGAGAAAACAACACTCATCACAACCCTGGGCGGAAAACACCGTGTCCCATTGACAGCCCCGGCCTCGTGAGCTGCCTAAAGCTCTCCAAACTTTCCTGCTCCTTATCTGCCGCTCTCCCGCACACGCTGCCTCCCGGATTTCTATTCCTGGCCCTTTTAATCCTTCYTGCCCGGGAAGCAAATGGCCTTTGCAGCCTCCTTGCTCAGCAGGCTATTGAAGCAAAAGGTTTGTTTTGCTGAGCAGAGCAGAACRGGCCCTGCTTTTACGATATTTTACTAGACGCTGTGGCAAATCCTGCACATATTTGACCTGGTGTCTGTAGCATTTATCTAATCAAAGGGATCACTGTGGCCCGGCCAGGACTGGGATGGAGATCCCTGGGATGAGGGAGGCTATGGAGGGGGCTATGCTCTATTTTTCCATCTCCATCTCACTCTGCACATCATAAAACCAATTWTTGGCAAGGACTGCATCTGCCTAAAGGAGCTCATGAGCTCTGTCCTGTCCCTCAGGAGCACTGACCGAATGACTGTTTTCCCTGCAGCAAAGGGTCATTTGTCACCATTCCACGTGAGAAAGCAGGGGCTCTCCCCTGKGCTCAGATTCACTGCTGCAGACCTGCAGCCTCAGGGTAGAAGAGCTGTTTAGAGCTGCTATGTAGGTCACRGTTTTGGGGGGCAAAGTGCTGCTTGAACAATTCCTTGTCCTCCTAAAATGTGAATAATAAATCACCACCGGCATAACAGCCCAAAGGCATGTCCTGGTGTGGAGCCACACACTTTGGTGTCAGTTTGTGGCAATGATGCCACCACATCCAGGGCAGCTTTCGGTGCCAGTGGGGCTGGGGCTGCTTTGGGGTGCCTGGGAAGAACAAACAGAACCACTGGGAGCCCAGARCAGCAGCAGTGTGCACTCAGTCGCTGCTGGTTGCGAAACCACGGGGCTGTTCTCAATGCAGAGMGAGCTGATACCAAATCATTAATTGCAGCTTCTCTTGCGCCATGCAGCCGCTGCCGTTCAGCGATCGATTAAATTCCCACTCAATGGCCTCGCAATTGCACTGAAAAGTCTCAGTTCTGGCTGAAGTGGAGGAGCCATGTGCCCAGGGCAGTCAGGGAGGAGAGCACAGGGGCTCAGACACTCAGCCCAGCGCCCCCAGCACCAGCAGGGTCACCCCAAGGTCTGGGCGAGGCACAGAAGCGCTGCCGGTGCTGATGGAAGGAAAGCTCCTGCTGCTCTGCTGTTACAGATCTCATCAAACTTTYATGACAGATCAGCCAAAACCCAAGGCTTTGGGGTGTCCAGCACTGAGTGATTTCGGCTGTGGGACAGGAGCCACTCTGACAATTCCCAGGGTGTCTGTGGCACCCCTCAACCCCACTCGCTGTTTGGGCATGGCTGCAGAATGGGATACGTTTATAGGGCATCCAACTCCTGTAAAACTTGGTTTATAGGGAAGTAAAAGGAGTCATCCGTTTTGCTTTACATGGCAACGTGTAAATTTCCAGGCAGRAGCTGACCTTCTTTGACCGTGAGGGAAAGAAAAGAGGGAGTGGAAGGGATGGATGGAGGAAGAGAACAGAAAAACAGGGGTGTAGGCAACCAGCGGTGAGGAGAGGAAGGCAATGACTGAAGTGAAGAACAACCTTTTTCTCCTGGTAGGGTTTTTTCCAAGTTTTCCACCCCAGGTATAATTAAGACCAACASCAGCAGCTCAGCATCAAGGTCAATAGCCCTTGGTGGTGAATACCTGCTCCCGTGGTGCTGCCTGCACCCAGGAGCCAGGATCAGAAACGCCTTGAGATTCAATCATAAACAGTCAACAAGAATCACCGCTGCTCAAAAAAAAAAAAAAAAAAAAAGCTTAGCAGTATTCAGCAATGGGTGAGATGATTAAAGATTAACCCCCTGCCTCCTGCCTCCACCCCTCGGGGAGTATAGGCCTTGAGGCTCAGCAAATCCTTTCAGAGAAATATCTGAATTAAAAGCCAACAGGTAGGGGACGCAGTGAAGGCAGAGGGAGGCAGCAGGGCCAATAGCCTGGGCCAAGGGAATCGGTGCAATCTGGCCCGTGTTTGCCGAGGATAATGCGCCTCTCCAAAGCCCTCATAGACATGGAGATGGCAGATTATAGCGCAGCGCTGGACCCGGCCTACACCACCCTGGAGTTCGAGAACATGCAGGTGCTGGCCATGGGCAACGGTGAGTCCCCTCCTGTCTGCTGTGCTGGGATGAGCCGGGGGCTGCAGGAGGAGAAATCCCTGGGGTGGCTGTAAAAATGCTCCCAGGGAGGGCAGGGGTGTCAGATGGGAGCTCCCCGCAGTTCAGTGAGGGGTTTCTGCCACCCCGGGGAAAATGGAGTGGGGACAGGAGAGCTGTGTTTGGTACAGGAGGGATGTGCCCTGCAGCCCCTGAGGGAACGGGCACAGACCAAACTGGGAACGGGCACACACCAAACTGGGAACGGGCACACACCAAACTGGCAAAGGGCACACACCAAACTGGGAATGGGCACACATCAAACTGGGAATGGGCACACATCAAACTGGGGGCAATGAGCAGACCTGGGGCTGAACATGGTGGGGGTCTCCCAGACCCCAGCCAGAAGTTTCTGGGTGAAGTGTTGTTGATGGTTCACCAGACAGAAAACTGCGCCTGTGGCTCCAAACCCGAGAGACAGTCCCACTCCAGCAGGAGCTGGAGCTGGGTTTTCCTGGAGCAGAAAGGCATTTAGCACCTGGTAAGGGTGAAAATCACTATGAGAAGTGATTCAGGCACTGCCCCTTTAGCTGCTGTGAGGGCACAGCCGTTCCCCAGCGCAGAGCTGGGCTGTGGGGTGGCGTCCCTTTTGCTGGGAGCACTGTGGGGCTGGGAGGCTCAGGGACAAGGGGACCTTGACAGGATAGACAAATGTTCCCATCCCTTCAGGGGGGCAGGATGCCACTTARCCCTCCAGAATTCACAACAGTGGCCCACTCATTTGGGGACCAAAGAGTGTTGGTGATTAATGCTTAGGTATAACAGGAAATTCCTCTCGGAGTCCCCCCAAAGTCTCTCTAAATATGAGGTTAATGACTAAACAATGCCACAGAAGGTGGCTCTCCGAGCCCTTTCCTCCCATGTGCTGTGTCACCAGGGCTGCTGGGCACCTCTGTCCCTGAAGGGCTGTGCTGGTGGTGTGGTCTCTTCCATCACAGTTTGTGTGGGCATTCCCTGGGCTATGGCTCTGCTTGGTCACGGATGTGACAGCGGTGCTGTGGCTCTGCTGTGCAATAAATCCCCACCGTTTGGGGTCCCAGCCCCCTCTCCACTCCTGAGGGCTGGTTCTATCCATTCAGGGTCCCCTTTGGCCCTGCTGATATCCATCTGGACCCTGCAGGACAAGCCCAGGCCACGCTCCCTCTCCCACCCAGCCAGAATCTGCCCAGGGGGCTGTGATGTGCCAGCCCCAGCCCCAGGGCTCGGTGGGCACYGGGACAGGATCATGTCAGATGACAAGATGCAGTGGGCTGTGACACTCCAGGGCTGGATGAGTCAGCTGGGGCAGACAGCACCAGCTCCTCTCCTCCTGGGCCCCGCTCCAGGACCGGGACAAGCCTTTCTCCCAGGGCTGCTCTGGCTCTGGTGCCCGGGAGGACACACCTCCCGCAGGACCAGTGCCTCTTTCTCTGGCCAAGGACCAGACCAGAGCTCAGCCACTGCCCAGCACAGCTCTGCTGGGGACCAGCTCTGTCCCTGTCACCAAATGCACTCTGTGTTCAGACAGGCTCAGGGACCTCTTGAGCAGCTCCTGTCCTCACACAAGGCTCAGCTGTAAAGTTGCAAACTTAAAGTCAGATTTTTTCTTTCCTCCATTTACCTTATCTCCAACTACTTCATAGCAGCAGCCAGAGCGCACATTTTTGGCACATATTTGGCAAAATAAWCTTAATTGGAAAATTATCCATTAGGCAATAATTTCATTGTTGTTGGCTATTAGACTGAGATGTTGCAATTTCTTTGATAACAGTGCCAGTTTTTCCTGCTCTGTGTTCATCTGATTACAGCATGATAARTTGCTAAAAAGGGATTTATCTGGACTGTCACAGATACACAAGTAATGGGATTACAGGCAGATCAGCTCTTCCTCTCACATCTAAGTCCTATGTTTAGCTGAAACTGGGAGTTTGACTTTCCTTCTGGAGTGACCTGCATCCAGCTGAGCCCTCAGGATATGCACAGAGGAAGAATGTTTTCAGAGGCAAGCTGCTCTTGGGACAGGAGACAGCCATTGTGGCCTTGGGAGGAGCTCAGGGCTGTGGGAGTGGAGTGAGGAGCTTTGCACTGGTGTTGTGTGGCTGCGTGACAGGGTGTGCCAGGCAAGGACACAGAGAGGCAGCAAACTGACTCAGAAGGAAATATGGGAGGGACACGAGGAATGGGAAGGACAGAAAGCAGGYAGGGAAATGAGATGCTGCCAGAGCCTGGGAAAGCTCAAGAACCCCTGTGCTTGCTCACTGCTGGTTCTGTGCCAGTTGTTCCTGCTGAGGGGTGGCATGACCAGGATGTGCAGCACCCGCTGAAATGCCCCTTTCTCTGCAAAATAGAAGCTAAAAATGCAGCCCTGCCCCAGCCAGGCTGGCCTTGGCTCCACAGGGAGCCCAGCTGGGACCAGCCTTTCTGCTGGGTGCCAAGGGGCAGCAGCTCTGGCCCTTCCAGGATGAGCCTTAACTGAGTCCCTGCCAAGCCCAGAGACCAGGGGCCAACAGGCTCAAGCATTAAAGATCCCAGCAGGTTTCTATGGCTCTGCAGGTCCTGGTTGTGATTTGTGACTGGCATTTCCACTGAGGCAGGGGGATGTGCCTGTGCTGATACAGGAAAACGTACATGGGAGGGGACAATTAGATCAACTGAATTAAGGGCTGATCCCTTCAGCCTTGAGCTTTGTTTGGCTTGCTGGAGGGGTTTAGTGTAGCCCTTGTATGGTTTTTAGCCTTTCAGATGTCCTTTCCTCCAGAGGCTGCTGCAATTCCCTGTCCTCCATGAAAAGCCCTGCAAGTGCCAGTCCCCCTTGGTCTGTAAGGACTACAAGACAAATCAATGTCCACTGTGGTCCTACCAGACTCTGGAAGACACTCAGCCTCCTCCATGCTAGAGTGCCACCTTTTCTTTCTTTGATCAGTCCATCCTTGCATGGACAGCCTTTGCCCACATGAGTTTTCCATGTTGAATCTGTTATTTACTCAAAAGTCTTGTTCTCCCAAAGAAAGGCTGTGCAGGCTGGAGCTCCATGGCTGGAAAAGGGAACAGGTCACTTCATTTTTGAACAGCATCTCCTCAGGGCTGTCTTGGGCTGTTTCAGTGCTATAACACAAGCAGTTCCCTCATAAACCACTGCTCACCTTGAGCTGTAATAATAATAATATAATAATAATAATAATTACTGCTCACCTTGAGCTGTAACACCTCAGCTTTAACTCTGCATCAGCTTCTACTCTGGCTACACCACTGCAGCCCAAAGTCTGCAAATCGCCGGGGAATTTTGGCTCTGCCCTGTGATTCTTACAAATGAGCTTCCACTTGATGTGAAGGCACTGCTGCAGCCAGGCCTTTGGGAAGAGGGGTCTTACACCCTGTGGAATACAGGAAGTTTTGGTGCACTCAAAATGCAATGATTTAAGCATCCAGAGCATTCAGAGCACCCACTTCTCCTTACACACCCCTCTGGCTGGCCCCTGCCACACAAACAGGGCCTGGTTTCTCCAAAAATCTCTCACTGGTAACTGAGTTAGGAAACACTGGCTGKCTGTCTCACTGTCTCACTGTCCTGCTCTTGCTGTGTCCTTCCCCAAGCAGACACRTCTCCATCAGAAGCAGCCAACCTCAACACCTCCAGCAGCATYGGGGTGAGYGCTCTGTGTGCCATYTGTGGGGAYCGTGCCACGGGCAAGCACTATGGRGCCTCCAGCTGCGAYGGCTGCAAGGGCTTCTTCAGGAGGAGCGTCAGGAAAAACCACATGTACTCCTGCAGGTGAGGACACAGGGGACAGAGACACAGGGCTCACACAGAACAGCCCCTCACAGCTCCGTGGAAAAGCCCTCAAAGTGCAGCAGCAGGGCCCTTCACCCTCTTCATCCTCACTGCATCCTCCTCCACCTTCCCTGATCTCAGCTGGGAAGGGTCAGTGACTGCTCAGATTTTGGGATTGCCTGCACTGATCMCTGGGTAACGACCCTGGGAAGTCTTGCCCCATATTTAGGGCCAAGCTCATATTCCTGCAAATGGATATAGCCAACCATGAATGTGGCCAGCAAGCAGGCAGATGCCAGGGGAGAATCCCTATTTCAGAGACTTAGCACATCACTACTCTGTGCTGTGAGCACTCCCTGGGGACAATCCTTCTCCATCACGAGATGGAAYTGAGCCTGCCATCCACCCAAAGGGTTGTCACTGCCTGTCACACGATACAAGAGCACCATGAAGGGCAGCACAATGTGCAGGTTTCTGAGGATGAGGCACTGCCCGTGGTTTCCCTGTGCCATCAGCAGCTGGGACCTGCCCGCTCCCTGCTGTGAGCAGCACACACATAGAGAGCCACAGAGGAAACTGAGGCATCCTCAGCTCACAGTGTCTGAATCCCTTGGGCTGTTTGAATCAGTTACTCCATATGGGGAGCATGAAGAGCAACATGACCCTAAAATCTGAGTGGCAGAAGGAAGCCCCAGGTTTATCAGTGCCTGTGAAGCCCATCATCATTGGCACACCAGGGTTATTTAAGCTGGCTGCCCAGGGAGCCCCCTCCCCACAACTCCACCAGAAAAGCCAAGGTGCCCAGATCTTGGAGGCTGAGGCTTTTATATGCACTACAGAAATATTTAAAAAGCTGCTTTCTGGCATCCATTTGGGCAAACCATAGCTTGGGGCTTTAAAAATCAYAGTAGAAAGAAGCCTTTTCAAAAGSTGCAGAATTCAGCATGGCTGAGASCCCTTTCCCAGCTCTGTACTCATTTGTCTTTASTCTGCAAGCTGGATCAATCTGCTGYAAATTAGAGCAAATTTGCAAGTGAAATTCATGCTGCAAGTGGCCACCAGGCTTGTGAGTCACACACAKGGGAGATCAGTGTTTTCCCCACCACGTGCAGTGGATTTGGAGACACAAGGTTGGAGGGAAGGAGCTGGTTGCTTCCCAAGTACTCTCTGAAGTGCAAGTGGCAGCAGAGCAGTTTGCACACCAGCAACGCTGTCCAGAGGTCAGAACCACCCTGTGAGGATCCCAGACAGAGCTCTGGAGAGATGGAGAGACTTAAACTGACTTCTTAACCTCACAGCTGGGCTGCTACAACCTTCTACCTGTTTTTAAAATTAAGAATAAAGGCATTCTTCCTCCATTCTGCTAGCATATAACTTAAAACAGCAGCTTCCAAGTTGGTTCTGACCCTCTTAGATCACACTTTWAACTTCCCTGGGGCTTGTTAGTCCATCCCTAATGGTCAGTGAGCAAGACCAGCAGCCTGAGCTCCTGATCTGTCCTTATTGACCACCCAGAGGTAGAGGGCTGCAATATTCAGAGCAAAAAAGAAACCACAGAGTAACACAATCATGGAAAAATCACAAATTTGGGCTCCTTTCTCAGGGTGAGCCTCTGGGAACTGGTTCTGAGCACGTCTGGGAGCTTGGGGCTGTCTTGTCCTGCCTTCAGGCCCAGTCTTGCTGCTCCTCACACCTTCCTTCCTTCCTTYCTTTCCAGGTTCAACAGGCAGTGTGTTGTAGACAAAGACAAGAGGAACCAGTGCCGATACTGCAGGCTGAAGAAGTGCTTCCGAGCAGGAATGAAGAAGGAAGGTGGGTGATGGTGTGGCTCTCCCCAGCAGCAGTCACTCACAATGGCTGCCTGTGTTTGGGGACACCCTGTCAGCCCAAGGCTGGTCCCTGCCATGTGCACCTCAGCYCTGTCTGCCCTCCACGGTGCCCTCCTGGGCACAGATCCTGACCCCACTACAGCGGGATGTAGGGACAGTCCATGCCTGTGTGTCAGCACTGCAGGTGCTTGTGCACAAAACTCACATCCAGGGCTCTTCAGCTCACTCTTGCTTACACTGACACACACATCACCTGGGCTCCCACACAGCCAGTCCATTGGAGGGCTTTGGGAAGGCCTCAAAGAAGGCCTGGAAATTTGGGAACCCTTTGGCAAAACTGCTCCAACAACAACTGCTGTTGTTCCAGAGTCTCCATGAAATCCACAGCTGGATGGAGGAGTCCAGATAAGGTCCAACTGACATTTTACACCTTTTTCCCCCCTAGTAGACACATATTCTTGATGACCCTCTGCTGAGAGTTTAGTTTAGTTTCATTTTTGCTATGAAACGCTTTGTGAAAATAGCAGAAATATCCCTGCATGGCCCATGCTCATCTCCCCAGCTTCCCTCCCCCCCTGTCTCTGCAGCCCTTACACCTCCCCATGGCAGGATTGTACCCTTGTTTAGCCCTGCTTCTCAGGAGTGGCAGGAAAACCAGGGACAAACTGCCAGAAGCAGAGGAGCTGGCCAGCATCCCACAGAGCTCACCCACTGATGTCTGCAAAGGGACAAGCAGGAGGTGCTTGGCTCTGTTGTTCCATGCAGAGAAATTAAACCCTGTGCTCCTCGCAGTTCACACCACCTCAAGGAGAAACTTTAGAGCAAAARGGTCCTTGAAGGCAACAGGGAAGTGCCAGTGGTGCCTGGGTAGCTCAGGAACACCTCTGAGCAGGAGCACCTCTGAGCAGGAACATTTATTCCCAGTTAAAGGGGGTGAGGTATCACAAGCAGCTTTCCTTGGCTTTTCCTGAAGAATATAGGAATCCTCCTCTCTGTGCAGCGCCCGCTCATCCCCAGCCCAGAGCTGTGCTGTTGTCTGTTAATATTCAATAGAAGTTACATTAGGTGCATGACCAGCTAATACTGAGCAAACATTTGGAAAACATCATGGCGTGACTGAACTCGGGGGCCTGCTACTGATAACAAGCAGCATAACCTTGAGAGCTCCTATTTACAGCCGCTGACTGCAGGGCTTTTCTCCTGGCCCAGCCTCATTATTGCTTTTTATCAGGTGGATTTATACATGGAGAACGTATCAATGCAGAGAGCCACCAGCCCAAGGCAGGGACTGTGCTGTTTCCCCTGCCATGGATCAATAGCTTATTTGAGCAGATGGCTCTGAGTGGCGTGGCCAGGGTGAGTTAGGGCCAGCCCAGGCCTCGTGACAGACAGACAGACAGGCAAATCCTCCCCCTCAAAGCCAGGCCCTCAAGACCAGACCAAACAGGGAGGCGTGCTGGGGTCAAACCTGTGCTGGGATGCTTTTACAATCTGCTGTGAGAGCTCTGCTTCTCTGGATGGATAAGTAGGAGCAGTTCTATGCTTCTTTATTACTGGAGTTTAGACAGAGGTTTTCCAACTAYACCCWCCCAGTGTAACAGMTTCCTGAATGGAGCTCACTGGAGCYATTAGGGCAAGGAAACCTCACAGATACCCCTYCATTTCACACATCAGCTTTGGGATGCATATGAGCAGAGCCACTGCTTCAGACCCCGTATCATGAAATAAAAAATCTCAGATCCTTTGTCAGGAAATTCTCCCCACCAAACTCCACAGGTGTTTGGGTTCTGAAGCGATCCTCTCCCAGGAAAGTCTAATACAGCAAATAAGAAATCAGAGCCACCAGATGCAGTCAGCCCTTGCTGGCATCCCATCACAAACCAGACACAGCTGCACCTCCACCCTGCCTGGCAGGGAAGCTGGGAAACTGCAGCTAAGGGAGGGGAATGCCAAAAGTCTGTGCTAGTTTTCGGTGTGCATTGCCATGAACGACGTGCAGCTCAGCCAAAATCCTCTCTTGCAGCTGTRCAAAACGAACGGGACCGAATCAGCACCCGCAGATCAAGTTACGAGGACAGCAGCTTGCCCTCCATCAACGCCCTCCTGCATGCAGAAGCCCTGGCACAGCAGGTACCTCTTTTATTTTACCAAATGCAAAAGCACCAGGCACTACCTGGCTTGTGGTGCCAGCTGAATATTTAATGGTTGAGTCTTCAAATTATCACCTCTTTTCTAAGTGACTTATCTGCCAGCTCAAGATGGATTTTYCAAAAATCATTTGTTACCTGAAACCATCCCTTTAAATCTCCTTAGTCCAGCACTCAGTTGTAACAATATGCAATGATTTATTCTGTTTTAATGGGACACAGGAAGGCTGGAGAGCCTGATGGAAGAGAACAGGGTAGAATCACTGCAATCCAAAGAGCTGTGGCTGCCTGAGCCCATGAGGGGCTGGCCTGGCATGAGCAGCCTCCCTTCCCCATGTTAGCTGCTAGGAACTTTGGATTCCTGCACGATTTCACRAGGAATCGGTTTCCTGCTTGTTTTATGTAGATATCTTTTCCAGTRCTTGCTTGAAATTCCCCGTTTCCACTAGCACACAGCCAAGACTCATTTCCTAGAGCYTTCACCTTGAAAAGATGACTCTGATTTAAGAGGCTGGACACTGCAAATGGTGTACACAGTCAGCACTGTCTGGGAGGACACAGGACAGGATGGGCACACACAGCCCGTGGGGAGGGGTTTGTGTGTGAGAACAAGGGTGAGGATGGAGCTGTGCTGGAGGCAGGAGCTGCCCCTCCTCATGGGAGCTGGGGAGAGCAGCACTCTGTGTCCTCGGGAAAACAAAGAAGGGGTTGAGTTGGCAGTCCATGCTGCTTCAAGGGTCACATCATCTGGGAGATGCTCCAGGACAGGGCATGCTGTGCTCTGGGACCCACATCAGGCTCAGGCTGTAAGGTCCATTTCTCCAAAGAGAGGATACGCCAGAAGGGCCAAGGACCAACCTTGTACACAAAAACCATATCCAATCTCATCCCACATCTCACCTTGTCCTATGCAGACCCTAATGTATTTATATACCCTATAAAAACAAGATTGGTACTGCTCCCCGGAGGTGTGAGATAATGGGGTCTSGAGTCACCAAACCTACAAGGGAAGGACATTTCCGGGGCTCAGAGTCCTGCAGGGCCATCACATGTAAGCAGGGGCTGCTGATAAAAACTACAACCATCGACAGATCCAGGGGAGCTCCTGCTCTCCCACAGAGCACACAGCGACTCATTAAACAAKGCAGGCTCCAGCACGGTAATTGGTAACTTTTATGTGCCTGGCTAATTAGAACAAGATACTGCTGAGGAGCTGCTTTCTCCAAGATCTAGGGTCACTCACTCAGAGGTCTTTATTTATTTGCTAAGCCTTCCGGGCCCTCTGATTAGGGTAATACATGGTGAGATTTTTACAATCTTACTTATTCAATAACAGCTGGTAAGCTGGACAGCCTCCAGGTAATGCAACCTGAAAAGAAAAAAAAAAAAAATGCAGGTGGCATTTGAATTCCATTTCCTTGGGAAGGCTGGCAGAGTCCGAGCTGAAAAATGCTGGCAGGAACAGGACAGGAAGAACTGATGTTGTACAAGAGCACAGAGGGCAGGCGGAGGGCAGTGATGGGGTTGAGTTAATTGCTTACAGAAGCATGAGGATAAAGTAGTGACTAAGGGCAAATTTTTAGACGACCTGGGTGAGCAGCTATGCATGAGAACCAGGCAGGAGGTTGGGTGCCTGGTTTGGGGGAGATGTTCTGTCCAGCTCGGTGTGACAGTACTTGCAGAGTTRTCAGGTTTGTCCTTTGCAAATGAAATGACCACATTTGTCTCTGCAATCACAAATAATTCACCACGTAACAAACGGAATCTGTGTTGTGCATGTTTGCACTTGCCCAGTTTTGCCAAAAGGACCTAAAAGCTGGTSGGAGGCGGGAGACAGTTATCTTTAAAGTCTGCCTTTAGCAATTCAGAGTGAGGGATGTCAAATAATAATGACCTGGTGYTCACAGAAAGCCATGTCAGACCTGGAAAGCTGAGATGCACTCATGATGACTCAGGAGAGGAGCAGAGCCTGTGTGGTTCCTGTGGGAAGCAGACAGGGCAGCTCTGGCCAAGSAGTGGCCCTGGAGCAGGGTGGAAGGGGGAGCAGCTCTCTGCACTTTGCTGGGACCAAGCGGGTTGTGCAGCAGCACTGGGAGGATGTGTCCTTTCTACTGGTGAGGCCGACTGSCACACCAGCCCCTCTGCTCCCTCCTGGATCTTGACTGAGCACATTTGTTCAGTGGGAGGAAGATCCTGGCTTTAGGAATGGCTCTTCTGTGCTTTCCAGTCTATTTGAGGCATTCCAGTTTAGCAAGATGATCCCCAGCCTCTACTCTGAGGCATTTCACGCTCACAGATCCCCAAGCTGATCTCAGTTTAAACGAGTCTTGTTGGGTCACCTATTCTGGGATCTGGGTGTGTGCTACAGAAAAAGAGTAATTGTTGATTCTGGAGTCTGCATCAACACAACCCTTGGGCTGGGGATTTTCCTGTCTCTGTTTCCTCTGCAGCTCTGAAAGCTGAGGGATCTCTTCTGTCCTTGCAGATATCATCCCCGGTTCCTGTGATCAAYGGAGACATCCGAGGCAAGAAGATTGCCAATATCTCTGACGTGTGTGAGTCCATGAAGCAGCAGCTGCTGGTGCTGGTGGAGTGGGCCAAGTACATCCCCCCGTTCTGTGAGCTGCCCCTGGATGACCAGGCAAGTCCTCCTGTCCTCCCCACCTCGCTCTGTCCTGGCAGAGGCCATGGGGAGCCAAAGGCAGCCCCGAGACCTTCAAAGAAAATGCAGATTGTGCACTCTGTTATCCTGGCTGCTGCAGCTGATTGGGAGCAGCATCCATACAATGCCAGCCCAGGCCAGACATCCATACAATGCCAGCACGGGCAACTTGCATGTGCTGCTGATCAGCCGAGGAGCACAGCCAGATAAAGCTGAGCTCCAATGAGGGCCATTATCAGATGAGCATTTTGGGGTCAGACAGTCATTTATTGGTTATAGTTTGTGCAGCACTTTGAAAACAGGAYGGGCTATACAAATGCTTGGGGTAATCAGAATTATCAGGACAGATTTCTGGCCTAAGATCTCCCCAAACCTAAAAATCTGCCTCTTTCTGCTTCCCGCCTGAGGATATGTTTGTATCCATGCTCTCAGTGTGGAATTTTGAAGTTAAACACTAGTTTGCTGCCCAGGCAATAGAAAATCTTTTTCCAGGATTAAAAAGCAAGAATATATTTGCATTTAACATGAATCACTAAACTGACATTTGTGGATTCCCTTATGAAGATAAGCACAGTGGGTTTGGTGTTCTCTAAAACTGCACTGCAGGATCTCAGGCAGCCTCAAAGAGGTACAAGGAGAGGCCTCCTGTGTAAGTCTGCATTTCAGAGGTCTGCAGCAGGTGTTGAAGGACATGATGTATGCTCAGCCTTGAACAGCACATGTGGCTGGGATGGCACTTCTGGCAGGGCCAGCACAGGTCCTGTCACAGGCAGGAAGGTATTTCCAGTCTGCCCAGTGTACAATAACAAAACTAGTAGGTGCTCTCTTCAGCTAGGACCAGTCTTCAGCCCTATTGGCCTAGGGGTAATTTTTATATAATGAAGAAAAAGGATATTCAGCTACTGAGAGTATCCACCTGATCAAAATCCTCTAAATCATAAATCTGCGCTGTTTAGTAACWACCCAGTGGCACACAGAGCTCTGGGGAATTCAGTGCTCTTAAAATGGGAACATGTTTCCTTCTTTTCTATTCTGTGCAAGTGCTAAATTGTTTAAAATTATAAGAAATCTGTTAAATTGCTTAGGAAAATACAATTCATAAATTGAGTAAACCAAAATGTGTTCCAATGGTAAATGCCATTTACCAGCAAACAGGCTGCAGCCCAGCACAGAGCTGGAGCAGCTCTGTACAAACCATCACATCCTTGTCCCATTTGGAACAGAGGCCCTAAACCTGGCCAATAACTCTGCAAACTACAGCAACTTCCACATGAGCTCATTTTACAGCTGTGGGGCTGCAAAATTCCTCAAAGGCGAAAACCTAAAGATGACACAGCCTSACACAGCCTTGACAATATCAAAGTTCTACTTTGTTGTGTTACAACTTTATATTTATCCTAGTTCACAATAGAATGACATATCTCAGGTTCATCACTGCAAGAAMAAATATTCWAATKAGATGGTTTTGCCTTGTTGAAGTAAYTGATTTAACYCTGCTCAAACAAGCAAACTTTATGAACATAAAAAAGGTAGTTACAAACTGAACTTCCTTGAATTTGCATCAGGCAGGAAATTTCTAGGTGAGAGCTTTGCTCCTCTCTGGGAATTGCAGTTTTTTGCTTCTCAAAGTTTTGTCAGGTAGGAAAGCTCAGCTGTGTGCAGCTCTGGTAATTCCAAGCAGCTCAGCTAACACATCCACCCATGTTTGGACAGTGATAGAGAGAGGCTAGATTTTGGCATCTAGATAAAGATCCCCCAGTATCATGTGTGCGTAGTCTTTTTGCAAGGATCTCCATTGTGTTTATTTTGCATAACCTTTTTACCACCTGCAAAAACAAAAAAAAAATCCCTCTCCTAAACATCAGTATCTTTCCAAACTAGAGCTCTTTTCTATGGATGATACATTCTCTTGGCGTGTCTGATAGGGTAAGACTTCTCTTGGCTTTGTCAGATGATGAAGATAACACACTGGAAAAGGGGACCATTACCATCAGGACATGCTTTTCAGAATTCCTCTATTAATGTTTAATGATTGTTTTCTCCAGCAGAAGCTCCTGGCTGGACATTAAGAAGCCTCTGTGTCAGGGTGTCCAATTGTTAACTTCTCTTTCTGCCTAAATCTTTGAAATTTTTAACTGAAGGAGGGCAAAAGATTCAGAACATTCCCAGGAGCCACTGGAGAGTGTAAAATGAAACACTTCAATCATTAACGCCAAGGGAGAAAAACATCCATTTGGCTTCCCTGCCTCCAATTCCTGTGGCTGTGGAGGGATGAATGGCCAGGGCGTGACCCCTCTGGCCAGCCGGACGTGGGTCCCTGTGAGTGTGATTTCAGTGGGAGGTGGGAACAGCCCGAGGGACAGCAGCTGTCCAACAGCAGGGGACTGTACTGCCCCAACCTCCCAGCATGGAGTGTGGTCCCTGGCTGTGCACTTGGTAGGAGCTGTCTGCAAACAGCCCATGGTGAACATGTCCCTCACTGGTGTGAGGTTCTGGGACAGTCTGGCATGGTCATGCTCATGACATGAGTCCTGAGTATGGGGTATTTCAGGTACTGTCTTATTATCTACTGGTTCTGCTGGATTTATAAGTGGTTTTGCACAGAAGATTTTTTGATCTTTCTCTCTTTCTCTTTCTGTTTGGATCTTCTTTAAGAGGGGCCCTCACTCCCCATCCTTGAGTGCAGTATAGAAATGCTTAGCTTTCTCTCTTCCTTACGTGAAATCACAGCTTGTCTCAGTCTCTGCATCACCCAAATAACTTCTCCCTGCCCTTGCAGGTAGCGCTTCTGCGTGCACACGCAGGGGAGCATCTGTTACTGGGAGCTGCCAAGAGGTCCATGGTGTTCAAGGATGTCCTGCTGCTAGGTAAGAACTGCACTTCTGCTCCCAGCCCATCTGCTTCTGGCACGCTTCCCTGCTGGGCTGAAGGAGAGGGTGGTGCACTGTTTGTGGACACCCTTTTTGCAGGGTGGTGGCTTGAGCTGTTCTGTGTTTTAGCAAGCCCAGCACAACCTTTGGGTGCAGCTAGGCATGGCTGACATTGACTTCAAGGCCATGATGTGGCAAAGTTGGGGGACTGTGAACACTCACAATGCACCCCTGGGTTTGTGTAAGCAGGCTGTGGTGTGATTGAGAAAAAAGCTCTCACTCCTTGGTCAGCTTTTCCTCACCTGAGTGGCTCCTGTGTAATGAGAAGCTGCTCTGGAAACACAGCTCCCAATTTCTGGTGCTCTGAGATGGGGAAGGAGCAGAAGGAGGCACTTCTTAATTCCTCCATCCYCAAAATTATCTCAGCATTAGTTACTTGCATTTTGACCTCCTTGTCACCCTGGCAAGTCTTGAGCAATGACAAGGTCTCTTATGCTGCTTGTCTGAAGGAAATGATCACATCATCCCACGGAACTGCCCCGAGCTGGTGGAGGTGAACCGCGTGGCCATCCGCATCCTGGACGAGCTGGTGCTCCCCTTCCAGGAGCTGCAGATAGATGATAATGAATATGCCTGCTTGAAAGCCATCATCTTCTTCGACCCAGGTATGCTCCAGCTTGGTGAGGGTTATCATCAGAAGGGACTAGTTTGGGTTATGCTGATGTTAACCAGTGCTGAGTTATGGAAATGCTGCTTGGTCTCCTCTCTGGGCCAAACTGTTCTTAGAGGGAGGGTAAAAGTCTGCCTAAGAAGAGAAAAACTGTCCATCATAACAGAGAGTGGGGAATCAGAGGCAGATCACTTCRGGCTGTGCCCAGAATTGGTGCTGGCACTGCCRGGCAGCTCCTGGGGAAGCAGCCTGCTCACTTTGCCGTGTGGGCTGTTGYAGATGCCAAGGGGCTGAGCGACCCRTCCAAGATCAAGCGGATGCGSTACCAGGTGCAGGTGAGCCTGGAGGATTACATCAACGACCGGCAGTACGACTCGCGGGGCCGCTTCGGAGAGCTGCTGCTGCTGCTGCCCGTGCTGCAGAGCATCACCTGGCAGATGATAGAGCAGATCCAGTTCGTCAAGCTCTTCGGCATGGCCAAGATTGACAACCTGCTGCAGGAGATGCTGCTGGGAGGTGAGTGCTTGAGGAGCCAACAAGAGGCCTCTCAGATTATTGTCCCCTTGAGAACTTCTTAGTTACTGCTYCTTGTCTGGAAAAATTAGAGACAGCCCGTCTGCAGGTCAGCCCTTGACTCACACAAAATCATCTCTTATTCTTGACAGCAGTAACCAACTATCCTCTACTTCTCACCTAAAGTGTGCATTAAATGTGCCTTTGTATACAGAGAGGTATCCCCAGCCCTCTGCACATGGACAAGCTTTGCTGTGCACCCCCCAGGCTCCTACCAGGCAGCCATTTCACTAACCCTGTCAGAAGGGACTCATCAGAACAAAAAGGTCTGAAAGCTCAGGTTGAAGGAATGTCCCAGATTTTCTAGTGGGAGCATCCAATGGGACAAAACAAAATAAAAAGTTCCCACTGTGTTATTCTTTACATGGAGGCGTGACTCAGGAATATAATCCTGTATAAGAAATATGCAAGCAGCAGGCAGGGAGTTAGTTAGCTCAAGACATCCATGGATGAAAAAGGGAAGGGTGTGCTCCAGTCACCTCTGCACAAGCTGATTGTGCACAAAGCCTTGGACACTCTGGTGCAGTGGGTCTGCCCATCTGAGCTGTCTCCTTCTGCCATTGTGACAATTAACATCTTCTGCATGTTCTCAGGCTCATCGAGTGAAACGCCGCAYGCCCACCACCCCCTGCACCCCCACCTGATCCAGGAGAACCTGGGAACAAAYGTCATCGTGGCCAACACAATGCCTCCTCAGATGCACAACGGGCAGATGTGTGAGTATGACCAGAGAGACAGAGCTCCCAGGAGAAACYAGGAGGTAGTTTCTGCCTTGCAAGGGAATTTGCAAGCAAGACAAAGTCTSTGGTAATGAGCGTGTGAGAAATTCCTATGCAGAAAGGAGGGAAAGACAAACAGAGAGGTGGGTTAGATTAGATTAGGCCAGACTAACTGATCCAACAAGATACTCCTTGGCAGACAGCAAGTTTTACATAGTCCTTAAGGGATGAATAGTCCTATCCAGAGCTTAGTGAAATCAGTAGAAAGGCTCCCCTTCCCTTGAACGGCTCAGACACACCTCAGTTTGCCCTCTGCAAAAACACAGGAGAGTCTGGTCCACCACATGGGGCCACCAATGGGGAACWTGGGCTGAGATGACCTCAGCTGACCAAAAAAGTGGTCAGTACAAGTCAAAACATCAGCAGCACCCCTCATTTGATGTTGGTTATTGTGGTTCTTCTGGGGCATCAAGCCATGCCTGCGTGTCTGGCTGCCCTACAGCAAACATACAAGTCCTTAAGAGCCTCTGCTGTGCTTATGTCTGAACCCTGCACGACCAAGGACAGATCCCAGAGCTGTCAGCCCTGTGAGGCCCTCTTCTAATTTGGTTTTTCTCTCTTCAGCTACTCCAGAAACTCCACAGCCGTCTCCACCCGCAGGCTCAGGACCAGAGCAGTACAAGCTGCTGCCTGGAGCCATTGCAACCGTGGCAAAGCAGCCCAACTCCATCCCACAGCCTGCCATCACCAAACAGGAGGTCATCTAGCATCCTGCACCCCTGCTGGCCTCCTTCGGAGCARTGTGTGGGAGAAAAGCCCAGACTGACTCTGCCACTGTGAAAAGAGAAGCCATCCACAGGTCCCTGGGCACAAACACAYGGACTTGCTTATTGGACTGAGCACCATCAGAAGCTGTCTTCCTGCAGCTACTGACAGCACGTGCCATGGGCAGCCCCGAGTCCCAGAACTAAGGCTGAAGCCTTGCTGAACCCTCAGTCCTTGTAAGGAGGGCCAGATTCCTGCCTCCCTGAGTGGGGAGGTCACAGTGACTGGCTGGGGACAGGCTGCTGCCCACTGCCACCTCAGCGTTGGTTCAGCACACACCAGACCCTGTGAACAAGAATTCCCTGTGGGAGCGGAGGGCTTCCCTCCCACAGCTGTGCCAGCCCCTCTGACAGTCCCCAGTCCAGCCAGACTTGGTGGAGGTGGAAGCTCCCCCAGGAGCATCTCAGCAGGTGAAGCACATGGGGTTTGCCCAGGCAGCACKGGCAGAACTGCTCCTCAGCCTTGGCTGGTCCCAGGTCTTTGCATGGTGTCACCTTCCAGCACGCTAAGCCCCCTAGCCAGTTCTAACAAATCTTTCAGCTGATGCTGGAGCAAAGTCTGGCCCACCAGGATACTCCACTATTTGGATCCTTCTGCTTTTGAGGGGTTTTGTTATTTCTGTGCCATGCCTGCCYTCCCACCACAATGCTCAGAGGACAACCACTGCCAAATCCTTCCCTTGCACCACTTACTGCCTCCTGGGAATTTGAGGGACCATGGGATTCCASAGATTTCAGCTAATGGGATGGGGTCACCCCTTTACAGGCTGGCAGCACTGCCAAAAGTATCGCTGACCCAACTGCTGCTTCTCTGCAGTTAGAAGACCATTGGATGCCTGTTTGGAAGGAAGTGGGGCAAAGATGTAGGAAAGGGAGAGACCTATGAGGGTGMGAAGAGCCTGAGCCTCACAGATTGGGCCAAGGTGTTGGGCTTCCCAAGTGCTGGGATCATTGGGGCCCAGGATCTCAGTTCAGACCCAGTTTTAATGCTAAGATGTGCCACACAATCCAATTCTTCAGTGCAGTGCTGCTCCTTCAGCTTAGAGTGAGTGGCTGATAACAGATTTATAGGTCTTCATAACATGGTCAGATTTYGTTATGACTCCTTCAGACCTCTGAGTGTTTGAGAGCACCAACCTCATAAACACAATTCTTCGAGTCCTGCAGAGAAAGCGACAGAGGTCGAGCAATAACCCTGTCTCACCCAAGCCCCTTGGTTTGCCCARCCTTGGGTGTGCCCACCCTGCTCTGCTCCCTGTGCCCCTGTCCCTGTTTCTCTGTGCCCGCCTGTGCCAAAACCCTGCGGATCTGACCTTTGGTTTACAGCTGAAAGCAGGAAAGGAGCCCTCCTGCACCCGGGTGCCAGCAGGGCTGGAGCTCCCAGAGCCCTGCACCACTGCAGGCCTGAGTCATCTCTGGCCTCYCAGGAGGAGGAGGAGGATGGTGGAACCATGGCTGCCAAGAGGACTCTGCTGGGGACAAATCTGAGCCAGMTCAGCCAGAGGAGCTGCAGGTCTGTCCCTTGATTCCCAATGCAAATATGAAACACCTCGAGCTGGCGGTGTCAGAGGTATTGTATGGTCTCAATGCTGGTGGCATCGTACCWAGTAATTTATTGTAATGATGAATCCAATCATTTTCTGTAAATTATTTTGTAAATCACATTGATTATTTATAATTGGGAGATTAAATGCAAAAAAAACCCCAATCCCATAATAGCCAGGCTGTCTTTTCCAACTGCAGCAACCTTTTTTCCTGTATGTAGACATACTTYGTGGGGAATCCTTTTTGGTCCATTTGCACCAAGTATTCCTCAATATTGTACATTAATTTTTGCTGGTTTCTGCCTTCCAATGGAAACAGAGGAATATTTCTTCACAAGAGTTTGTATTCATTAAAAAAAAAAAAGAAAAAATAAATGCAAAAATATTTTCTAACTTTTCCCAGACAGATGGATTTCTTTCTTCTGGGAGGATTTATTTTAAATCAAGGGGCTCACCTCCCTGTTGCTCTAAGTACAAAGCATATTCTGTATGGAGAAAAAAGCCCAAACAAGTGTTTGACGCTGCTGCCAGCTGTCACTATTTCCTGGCAAGCCCAATGCTAGCTGGTGTCTATCCTGAAGCCACATGTGCTGGAATCATAAGATTGAATAACAATCCAAATTTTCATTGAAAGAAAAACAAACATGAAGAATAAATATTTACTTTCATGATTCTGGGGAGCTTAAAACGCTTGAAGTAACCACACTTTGAAAACCAAGCAAAGGAAGCTAAAATATGTTATTCACATTTCAAACATGCTCATTTTTATGTCCCTCTTGTATTTCAAAGGTAATTTCTGAGCACTTCGGGGTGGGTGATTGTGCTTTGGTTCAAACACAGATAGATACCCTACTGCTGGCAGCAGGTGAGAGCCAGCCTGAGCCTATGGGGCACAATAAGATGATCAAGTGAAAGTCAATTTATCACTGGTTGTAAAGGTGAAGAAATACACTGCAATTAGAGACGGCTCTTAATGACCTGCTTTCCTGACCACGGGAGCCTGTGCTCAGCTGTAGCATGCCCAGGAAGAGAACAGGAGGAGGGGARATGGGTGTAGATGGCTGTAAAGATTAGGTCTCTGGGAAGGAACAACATCCAGCTCTGATTTTCAGCTCTATCTGCAGGACTGACCCTCATGTTCCCCCATCTGCAGCCCCTGATGAGAATTGAGGTGGGCAGTCCTATCCCAGGTACCAGGGATGGAAGCAGCCTGATTTTCCATCCCATTAGCACATCCAGTGGCTTCCCAGTGACCGTCATGTTGGTGAAAACTGTCAGCAGGGATGAGACCCAAGCTCCCTTTGAGGACTGTGTGGGGACACAGCATTTAGAGCCTGTCTCTACTGAGTAAAGGACCTGGGAGAATAGGACAGATCTCAAATAACAGGCCCTCACTAGCTGTGATGATCCAGAGTCYCAGCACCCTGCTGAATGCCTGACCCAAAGGCAGTCACAGGACATGTTATCCCAGCACACACAGGATTGAGTGGTTAGTCTAGCCAAGAGAATGAAAAGAAATTCATTCAGTCTCTTCAATGTAAAATAAAAAGGCTCTGGGACTCCTCTGCTCTGATCCATGGTTGGTTTTACCTGGGTATATGCCCTAAAAAMTGATATATGTAATATCAAATCTTTGAAGCAATAAATTCTCCTGGATTCCTTCCCATGAACTGCTCTATCAAGGTTGCCCTTAACCTGGTTAATCTTAAATCAGTGCAGTTCCTACAGGAGATTTCTTATTGCTGGATTCAGCWCACTTGGAAAAAAACTCATAAACTGTCCCAGAAGCAACCTTGTCCTTAACTGGCATCCTCAATCCCAACTCTCACCTCTTTTCTCACTCCAGCCTGGGATCATCCTGAAACACTGATCTTGCCACTCGTGGGCTGTGTTTTATCCTGCTGGGTGTCCTGGAGTCCTCAGGCAATGTCCCATGTCACAGGAGAAGGCTGCTCTGACTATTGTCCTTYGACACAACTTCCTCACACTGTTTTTGAACACAAGAGCTTTCTGTGCCTGCAGCTTAGCCTGAGGATGATTTCCTGGAGAGCACCATCTCCGGCTGCRGAATCTTTTCATGATGTCCAAGCAAAGATCTGTGAAAGTGGTATTTTTAGGTCCTTTGGCCACTATGAAATGCATTCTTTTCATATTCCTTATATAACTTCCATTTGAAAGAGCCAGCAGGCTTTGGAGCCTTTTCCACAGCTTTCATATCTCTGTGGGAGGGGGGAAAAAAAAGGCAAACAAGTTTTATGGCCTACATATCATCTCTGACAAAAGCAACTATTGCTGCTATTAAACTTACAAGTGCACAGATAGTCATGAACACTGAGAGGCAACAGGGACAGCTCAGCAACGTGGCACTGCTGAGCCAGGCAATTCCATGTGCCAGCCTGGCCACTTTGCTCAGGGCTTAAAGCAAATATTACCGACCAAGTGGGGATCTCAGGGCCACACACTGCACCAGCCCTTTCCACGCAGAGAGGCTGGAGGAGGAATGGTAAGGTGTGGGTACGTTTAAAATCTCTCTCCCCATTCCAAATTGAGGTGTGACCCTGCCAGTCATAAACACACCTAGCACCTGAAAAATTGCCAACCAGGCCAATAAAAATGGCAATATACTGTATAGGTGGGAGTGAGCAGGAGAGCTTGGCACAAACAACACTGCAGTCACGACCTGCAGTTCAGTGTCCTGAGAGGGAGAAGAGGCTGCTGGGACCAGCAGAGCACTCCCAGACCAAACCCAGGGGAAGAACGGCTCTGAGTGTAACCTGGGTGTGGGAAAGAAGGTGGTTTGGGAAATGCATTTCCTAGGCTTACTCTGGCTTTGGATCAGGAATGATGCCAGGCTTGCCTGATTGTGACCAACAGCTTCCAGAGGCCTGAGGGCACCCCTAACCTGGAGATCAGTCATGGGTGGCACAAACCCCCGGGCTCCACTCCAGCCCCTCACACCTGCCAGCTCTGCCCAGCTGSAACCTGCAGTCCCTTGTGAGCCCCTGGATTCACAAAGGCCAGGGACCCCTTGCGAACCTGGGGGACCTCACACCAGAGGAGGGGTCTGAGGGAGCTGTTGTGATTCCCTACCTCCTCCTAGAAACTGCTCTGGGKGTGGCAAACAGCGCAAGAGCTGCCTGAGGGAATGCCTGGACAGACATCCACTGCAGAAAGCATCCCAAGTCAGACAGGAATTCCTCTTTGCTGCTGCCAACCCAGGTGTCAGCACTGGCTGGACATGTTCCCCCTCACTGAACAGGAAAGTTATTACAATAAAGTAACTCATAATACTCTCTTCCTTTCCAGGACTCTCCAAAACCTCACTGTGCCTTAAAAAATCCTGCTGACAGGTTATTCTCCATTAACCACTGACATGGAGCACACTGCTTCCTGCATATCCTAGAATCCACTCAGAATTGATTTGCAGGGACAAGCAACTGCAAAAAAAAGCTGGAGGCAGAAGCAGCAAAGAGAAAGCTTTGTGCCAAACCCAGAAAACCTGACTCTGAACTACAACCCTTCCAGCACAGATAAAGGCATCCTTGGTCCTGAGTGGGTTTTAGCCCTCTCTTAACAATATTTTAAGGTGTAGGATTAGTGG